AAATTAAATTAAAATTAAAATTTTAAATTTTAAATTTAAAAAAAAAATTTAAGGAATACCAAATAATTCTAATTTAGAGATAATAACAACAACAACAACAACAATAATAATAATAATAATAATAAAATAAATAAATAAAAGAAAAAAAACCTTAAGGTGGTTTGGCTTAGCGGCTGGAATCGGCTCGACTCCAAGAAGAAAAATGGCTTAAAGGTGCAGCTCAGGAGTGTATGGCTCGACTCCAGGGGTTGACTGACACTCGGATTAAAAACAGGTTGACGCTCGGGTCGGGTCGGGCCAAACAAAAATGTGCGGATCCTCGGAGCTGATTTAACGTCAAAACAACGTCGTCTTGAGCAAGTATAAAAGGTTAAAAAATCATGTTTTTTACCATATGCTTCTCTCCTTCCTCTCTTTTCCTCTCAATTTTCTCTCCCTCTCTCTCTACCCGCAAAGAACACTGATAGGATTCTCATCGATTTTTGAGTTTTTCTTCAAAAATTGGGTTTTTCGTCGAAAAAGTCATCGAAAAACTTGAATTTGACCCAAAAAATTGCTCGAAATCTAGAAATTTTTCAAAAATTTTCCAAAAAAAAAAAACTCCAAAAAATTTGAAAAAATTTTCTAAAAATTCTAAACTGCCTCTAAACATTTTTTGCTTCTGTTTCACCTTTCTATTGTCTTTTTCTTTGTACGCTTCATCATCTATTTATAGGGATTGATCAGAAGAGTTTTTGATCAATCCCAATTTCATTTGGGATTAAGATTCAAACTTTGAATCCAATCCCAACTCTGTCAGCTCCCAAATTCAGGTCCAAATCCACTTTCACCATTTTTTTGGATTATTTTTAATTAATCTAATCATTATCACCTAATTAATCAAGAAAAGATAAAATCAAAAAATAAATAATAATAATAATAGTAATATAAAGAATAATATAACTAATAAATAATAGTAAATAATAAAAATAAATAATAAACAAAAAAATAATAATAATAATAAATGGGCCCATCTTGCCCATTTAGGCTAGGCCCAATTGATCCGAGCCTGGATCAAATTGGGTGTCTACAACAGTTATTCAAAATAACTCATTTGCAAAACAGCTATTTATGAAACAATTCTTTTACAAAATAACTATTCACAGAACAACCATTCACCGAATAACACCTTCTTAGAAAAACTATTCATCGAACAATACCAACACTTTTACTAAAAGCTCTTTGACTAAAAGTTACTTTACTAAAAGTTATTTTACAAAAGATGTTTCATCAAATGTTACTTCACCGAAACAAATGAAAATAACCTCGAAATATGACATAATTCTTGGGTTAACTTCACTATTGGGATGTTTAGGAGAGTTTAGCTTATGAATTATATATGAAGATAGTCAAGAGATATTTCTTTAACATTTTTTTTAAGTACAAGTGTTTCTCATTTTTTTTCATAATAAATAGTGAACTTTATGTTTATTATAGTTATCACCATAACCTAATTAAATGCCCATTAGACAATGCATTAACACCTTTTGTAAATGTCAATTTTATCATTATTTTTATTTAATATTGAAAATATGAAACTCTAAACCTATAAATTGGAGTTTCCACAACTTATAGAGAGCCTTTTGGAGCTTTAGCAAATTCACTCAATCCTCTCTACAATTCTCTCTTTCTAAATCATTTTTTAGTTTTATTCTTTTCTCTACTCAACCTTGCTTTATCATTTATCACCATCTACCACTACAGTCAATATTTCAAAATCTGCTCCAATCTTCACCATCTCTCAATATGTCTTATTTTATTTGTTTGCAACGTTTTCTTACCTCAACAAGCAACCCGTTTATGCTAATATGACTGCTTGTCTCAAACCCCCTCGTATGTTGTATCACTTTGTTCTGTGTAATGCCAAAAATGACACATTGATACGAAGTCCTGCTTTGTTCTTTTTCTTTACCTTCATCATATTTGCAATGTTACCAACTTGTCATGTCACTGGGGTTAAAACCTGTAGAAACTCTGAGTCTTCCCCCCTGGCTCAGCAAATTTGAACTACCAAATTTTCTTTGTCGTATTTCTTTCTTTCTTCTTTTTCTCAAAACGTGTTCTTTTACCAAATTTCTTCTTGACTAAACTTAGTTACAGTTAATGAGACATCAAAACAAATTTGACAAGAGGGGATTTTCACTTTTCTTGTGCTTCATTTTCGTGTCAAAGGAACAAAAAAGGGAAATTAGTGGTGACCTACTTCTTTCCACGAAGATGCAAGCTCTTTTCTTTTCTTTTGTTTGTGAATTTTGTGCTAACTTTTGCACTTTCTTAGGTCTTTAATGGGCCACATGCATTTCATTTTGAGAACTTGTTAATGACGATTACATGACCATTTTCTAGCATAAACAAATGAGCTTCGAAAAAAAAAAGTCTACTTTTATGGTTGTTGTAAGAAATTTTAATAAATCTTCAACCTTACGTGTGAACTTAATTACGAGGCAAATTCAGGTTGGTTGGGTACTCGTGTTTATATTACTGCCTACATCAGTGTATACTATTGAAAATTTTAGTGGATCCCTTTGGGGTCTAACTTAAAACAATTTCACCATAAAGAAAATTTTTCTTTCATTATGCTGTCAAATAAACTTTAAATTCGAACGTGTGTTTATGTTGTTTGGCAGTGACAGATCTTAGTGTTTTATTTTAAGGGAGTCAATTAAAATTTAAAATTATATATTTTTCATTTGAGTTATACTGCTGTATATTTTATTAACATAAATGTAATAATATATTAAAAAAATAACAAACTTATAAAATCTTAAATTTTATTAACTCAAATTAAAAGTATAAAAAATAAAATATAACAAATAAATAATTTTATTTAAAATTATGAGCAATGTTCTTTTTGAAAAATAAAATAAAATCTTCAACAATTGAATCTGAAATTAAATATTTCTTTTTATGTTGACAACCAAATTATTCATAAAAAAACTCATATTCTATCTTATTTCATAGTTTTATTTTGATGATTTTTATAGCTAAAAATATTCGTTTAATCAACTAGTTATTTAGATACCAAAAAGAATTAAACTAAATTTGATCAATTTATTAATGAGATAAAATATTTTTTATTTTTCAATTTTTATCAAAATAAGGCATAATTATGACAAAAAAGATAAATTTTGATGTTTCACATTATTATGCATCACACTCAAAATATTTGAATTGAAATTTCAAATTTAATTTATCTTACTCAATATAAACTAGAATTTAAAAAATTAAATTGAATTTTTTTAAAAATTGACATGAATTATGACTTAATATTTGTCACAAATTAATCGATTTTAAATATTTGTCAATTATGATTAGTAATTAAAATAAATAAATAAATATTAATATAATTTTATCTTTTTAATTTAAAAAATCTAAATTTAAATTTTTTCTAATTTAAATTTATTTAACACAAATATATATATATATATATATCTATATATGAATAAAAAGAATATTTTCAAAAATCTTAGGGGGCAGGGTACCATCCGCGCATGTTGCAAGGTTGAAAAAAATGAACCCATTTTAATATTTTAATTTTGTTTATTTATTCAGCATCTTAATGATTTATTTCGTAAGCATCTTAATGATGGGTTGACTAAAACATTCATGAAATTTAATTGATAAAAGGGTAAAAAAGTCTCAGAACTAAGATTTAATAGTTATCTAAGTTTTTTATAGTTTATTTTGTAATTAATAATTAAATCTTTAAATATTTATTTTTATCAATTTTTGTTAAAGAAAAAATAATTATTTGCTTTCGTCCAATCTAAAGTTTAATTTAGTAAAAATAGATATTTAAAAGTTTAATAGATTTAAAATAAAAAATTTAAAATTTGAATAATTATAATAAAATTTAAAAAATCATTAAATTTTTGTTTAAAAGTTTTTTTTAACGTTTATTCCAATTGTAATTTTGCTCCTTTAAACTCTAAAGATGAGGCGAAAGGTGAGAAAGAAGCGAGGTCGGTGCTCAGCACAACAACCGAGTTGTTGCTTTTCTCCCAAAGCACAACACGGAGTTAAGAAATTAGAGCTAAGGCGATAAAATACATATTACCCTTTCAGATTAGGAAAAAAAGATTCTTTCCATAATATTTTCAAACCAATAATCATTCTCTGAAAGTTTCTTAAATTTTACTTTGAAATTAATGTATTGGATTATCTAAAAAAACGTTACGAAAGACTTGAAGAAATTTTTCTAATAAAATGTTAAAAACGTTAAAGGAGTTAGAAAATTACAAGGGTGAAGCCCCAAAGAAAATCTCTAATTGCATCCAAATCAATAGATTAGTATGAGATATTTATAAGATGTGGACACTTTTGGAATAGAAATTTGTTTCTTGAAAGATCCTGATTTTTATATTTTTGTTAGTTTTCAAGATCTTTTCATCGATATATATTGCATTAAAAGATATTTATATGATTCAATCAATTGCATAAAACTTATGATAATATCATAGTTGGAGAAAATATATATAAAAAGGATGATTCTTTTCCTTTTATTATTTTATTATTTTTATTTTATTAGCATTAAATTAGTATTAGTTAATGATACCGGCCTTTTAGTCAAAAAAAAAAAAAATGAAAGTTAAAGTGGTTAATTAAGAGAAATTAATTTATGGAAAGGCCAATAGGGAGTGATGGGTACGTTCAACCCCACTTCGTCCCGCCGTTGGGGCTATGGGAAAGACGTAAATGAAATTATCAAAGTAATGATTTTCCATTCAAAAGTCATACAAGAATTCTTGAGTGGGGAATGGGTTTTTTTTTTCTACATTTGTCCGCTACCTACCCAAATATTTTATACCCAAATATTGTATACCCAAATATTTTATGTTCTTTCTTCTTATAGGACGGAAGAGTCAAACGAAGCTAATTTTTTCCCACTGCTTTGGCAATCTATATAGTTTGAACACAATTTAGAAATTTCAGCAACTCTCTTACTATATATATAGCTGCCTTGCTTTTGGTACTTGCACTGCACTATCAGTTTTCTTTACCAAATTTTAACCTTCTCAATTCACATACAAAAGAAGTTCTAGCTACATTTTAACTTACACAAAAATGGCCCCAAGTTTAGATGATGGTAGCTCTCTTTTTAACTTTGTTGTCCGAGATGGGAACGGAGTCAAAGGAATGGTCGATTTAGGCTTATCAAAGGTGCCAGAAGCTTACATTCAACCACCAAAAGAGAGAATAGACAAGCAAAAGGCAACCAAACATGAGCAGTCACCGATTGATTTCTCCAGGCTAAATGGACCTGACCATGACGAAGTGGTCAAGGAAATTGTCACAGCTGCTGAAACTCTTGGCTTCTTCCAACTCGTTAACCATGGCGTGCCTGTTGATTTACTGGAGACGCTAAAGGCAGCGGCGCATAACTTCTTTGGCCTGCCATCGGAAAAGAAGGCTGTTTATCGCAAAGAAGTGAGTCCAAGCCCGTTGGTGAAGTATGGGACGAGCTTTGTCCCAGAGAAAGAGAAAGCATTGGAGTGGAAGGATTATATTAGCATGGTCTATACCAATGATGCCGAAGCTCTTGATCAATGGCCTAAAGAGTGCAGGTGAGAAATTAATATCCATTTTCATTGGTCATCTTCAGAAATAGCATAATGTGTATTACCATTAATTTTGATTCTTTAACAAATTATCATCATTCCAGGGAAGTGGCACTTGAGTACTTGAAAACATCGATGAACATGGTGAAGCAATTGCTACAAATTTTGATGGGAAATCTTGGAGCCGAACTAGATGACTCAAAGATTGATGCACTCATTGGCATGAAAATGGTTAATATGAATTTTTATCCAACATGTCCTAATCCAGACCTCACAGTTGGTGTTGGACGCCATTCAGACATGGGTACTCTTACGATTTTACTACAAGATGGAATTGGTGGTTTATACGTGAAAGTTGCGGAAGACATAGAGAATATTATTGGAAAGAAAGGGGAGTGGGTAGAAATCCCTCCCATCCCAGGTGCTTTGGTCATCAATATTGGCGATACATTACAGGTACAAATCAAATAACTCTCCTTAAAGTCTCAATCAAATATTACTTTATTGAATATTGAAAAAGGTTACTAACTTTTCAATGTCTTTTCTTTTTTATGTAGATACTAAGTAATGGAAGGTACAAAAGTGCAGAACATAGAGTTCGTACCACAAACACAAAATCAAGAGTGTCAATTCCAATATTTACAGCCCCGAAACCAGCCGAGAAAATTGCACCACTTCCTCAAGTTGTGGAGAAAGATGGAGTGACTCATTACCAAGAATTCATTTTTGCAGACTACATGAAAAACTTCTTTGGAAATGCACATGATGGCAAGAAATCCCTTGACTTTGCTCAAATTACTTCTGCTTGATGTTGATGCAGAAAATTTTGTACCTCACTTGATTTTGGCTTGCATGTCCTTTTGGTGCACTTATTAATGGTTTATACACCGGTGTAAAATAACAATAATAATAACTTTATAAAATAATAAAATAATGATTTATGTAAAAAAATAATATAAAGTATTATGTTAGCATTTACAAGCTATCCTAAACTATATTTTACAATACTTGGCGAAAAAAAAAAAACAATATCTTACAAGAAAAACATATTAACAATTGTTGCAAATACTTTTGTGATTCTGTCATTTGCATCACCTTACAATAAGTTATACTAGATAATTGCCCGCACTACGTTGCGGGAGTACAACCTCAAATTATTACTAAAGTGTGAATTCTTATTGCCTACTCGATAATCAAGCAAAACATCTATAAAAATGAAGTAGAATGAAGTAACATGTATAGAATGAAATATACCTTGTCAAAATTGTCACCAATTTCTCAAGAGCTGCAACCTTGTTTACTAGTTTATCTTTTCTACCCTATAGTTAAAACATATTTCAATTTTAAACGTATGTATAACAATATTCAAGAATCAATTCGAGTTAAAATACATAAAACATTGATATTTTAAAAAACCTTGAATTTTGTTCAAATCTTGAACCCAAATTTTTAAATTTTGATTTCTTAATTACTCTACAAAATGAATTAAGAAACATTTCATATATGGTTTCAATATTCTCGCAGAGAAGAACAAGGGGCTCAAATTAATTTTGAAAAAATAAAATCGAAAAGCTAGAGTTGCATCAAACACAAAATTTCATCTCAAAACTTAATTTCATCAGAAATTAAAATTTAAAAGTATAATTTTGGGTTTTAATATCACATAATTAGGCTCTAATATTATATGTAAGTATAATACTCTTTAAATCTCAAAATCATATGTGAGTATTAGAATACCAATCAATCTATTTGTGTATATGTTTAAGTAGACATAATCGTCAAGCGAAAGTAACTGCAATTTCGTGAAGAAACTAAGTCTTTTTTTTTTTTTCGCTCTTCTCTTATTAACGACTTTTAATGGGTAGATACCGTTATTTAAAAATAAATAAGAGACTTTAATCAATTTACATTAAATCCATAGAAACCTCTACATCAAAGATTTATTGGCCAACATAACCATCAAATCAGATTTATTCAATAAGATGTGTGAAATTCATACATAAGTGATCACAATTAATTATTTAAACTTTCATAGTTATCTCGTATTAAAATTAAATTTATAAATTTATTTTATTAAATATTAAAATTACTAATTAATAGTAACTCACTTATTAAAAAAATCTAACACATCAAGCATCGAGGTGAAAGATGAAAGTAAGCCTTTGCCACCTACGACATTGCTTTCAACTTCTAGCTTGACAATCAAAGAAATTTAAAATTCTTATCTTGCTAATTGCGAAACAATATTTAACGTATATTGTTAGACACTTGGAATTGGCAATTTTTACTTTCATTTTGTCGTATAAATTGTAAAAAATGATTTTTAGTTGGTGGAGGATCTATTCTTTTCCTAAAAAAAAAAGAAATTCAAAATTCAACATTGAAATTTTTAAAAAAATAGCAATTTAAAATATTGTCAACTATCATAATAAACCCAAAAAAAAAAAAAAAACCTGAGAATTGATTGGTCGAGAAAGAGCACTATAAGTGGGAGCAGGAGCTCCTCCTTTGACAAAATGCCGTTTCTTCATCATCCGTTGCTTTCGACGTTGCCATTGCTTTCCCAAAGTTAGATCCAGCAACACCCTAATGGCAAGAGACAACCACTAATAGTCTCCAAACTCTTAATAACTATCCTTTCTAGATTCTTCTCAATCTCTTTTTTCATCTACTTTTTTTTATCTAAATTCTTCTTCCTTTTTTTTTCACCAACAAAAAAAAAAAAAGTCAATCATTATGTGACACTTGACGCAAAATTGTAGTAAATAGTAACTAATTTGGAGGCTATTTTTAATATATTGTTATAGATTTTATTATCAAAAACCATTTCACAACATAAAACTATAATATTACACGTTACTTATAAATTGCATTTATAATATATATTAAAATGGTTGCAAATTTTTTGTATCTTAAAAATTTTCAGCATTATATAAAAATTTATTGTTAACTATCAATTTTTTTTTATAATAATTTTTTTAGTTATAATTTGATTTGTTGATTGGCTTATATATTTTATTAAGTGATTTTTTTTATATGAATGTTACATATGATTGTGATTGTAATTTTTTTTATAATTATAATTTTATAAAAAATTATTAATTAAAGCATTGAAGTTGATATCATAAGTTAATTGAATATCAATTAATTGATAAAATTAAAACAAATTAATGTTAATATAAAATACAATTAAAGGGTATATATGTGGATCAATTTTTTAAAACACTAAATCACACATCATATAATTTCCTTCAAAAAAAAAAAAAAAGAAAAAACTATGCATAAGTTGACTTTCTTAGATAAAGTTTTTTTAAAATATAATTTCTTTTTTTCAATTTTTTTTTTTATTTTCACGTACATGATGTGTGAAATATATAGTTACTAGTTTTTTAACCCGTGCCGTGCAAGGGATTTTTTTATTATTTTTAATAATTAAAATAAATTTATTAATCTTAATTTTTTTTTATATTACTTTGATAAAAAAATGCAAACATTTATTGATTTATTATATATAATCATACATTTATAAGTGTTAAGATACAATTAAATAAGAATTTATACATATTATAATACTTTTCCAAAGTCAAAGCTTTTGTAAAATTTCAAAGAATTATAAAAAAAAATTTTCATAAAAATTATTTTTTCAATTCATTTACTAAACAATAAAAATTTTGCTACTCATTTTTTTTATTCGATCAAAAAAGCAAAGTTCAGTTTTAAATAATCAAGATTTTTATTATTGGTTTATATATATATATTTTTTAGTGTTAAAAACGTTGTTATCTACACTTTTGGATTCCTCATATGATGTTGGTACAATTTTTTTAGGGTTTATATTCTTTTCGTGCTTTATTGTACTCTTAATTATGGTTGGATATTTATAACAATTTCAGTACTTTTAATAAAATTTTACTTTGGCTTATTAGAAAGAAAATAGTCAAGATTAATAATTGTTTATATGTTGATATGAATATATAAAAAAATATATCATTTGATTAAATTGTAAAAGACATTTATATTAGCAAAATATTCTTAAATTATTAAATCTTATAAAACTAAACAAAAAATAAAACATCAAATAATAATAATAATAATAATAATAATAATAATAATAATAATAATAATAATATATGATTGAACTACAAAACATAATTATTAATTTGCTCAAAACCATTTGCTTTTTCTTAGTTCTTATTTTTTTACATATGTACTTTAACATACATAGTTGTTTTTTTATTAGAACCATAGTTACTAATTTCATTTCGGTACTGATTGTATCGATTGATACGCTTCAATTATACTAAAATATGATACACCTAAGGATGATTTTTTATATCGAATTTAGTACCGAGTAATAATAGTTGTTTTTGTTAGTTTCAGCTTATTTCTGTGAATTTCGATGAAATAGCATGTTTTGATTAGTACGTAAATGTGAAATATATTTTGTAATTTTTAACTTATTTTTTGTTATTTAATTATTTTTAACCTAATAAAAATAAAATTAATTAACAAAATAATCTTTAAAGGTTGAGTTTTTTATTTTTTATATTTTATTTTTTTAAATCAAAGTTTATAAGTATTTCAATTTTTTTTCAAGAAAATAATTATACTCTTTTTATAAAGTTTAACAATCATAAAGTCTTGGTTAATGTTTTTTATCTATTTGTTTTTATCTTAATATTTATATGAAAATATTTATTTAAATATTATATGATCATATTAAGTGTTTAAAAATATCATGAAAAATTTATGATATTATCTCTTATGCTTTTAAACTTATTTATTTGATTTTTGAATATATTGGATATTTATTTTGTAGATTATTAATAATATTATAATGTACAAGTTCATATATGTTTATAAATATATTTGTACTAAATCGAAAAATCTGAAATAATATACCGAAACAATTGGTATCGGTATATACTTTTTATTTTTTAAATCAAAATGTTATCTTGTACAATATTAACAACCTTGATTAGAATATAAACTAAATATACAAATTAAGAATTATATATAATTTAGATTTCTTGTACTTATGCATAGCAAATATCCAGTTTAACTATATATATATGTATATATATAAACAGATGAATCAATTTATTTTATAATAAATCAAATCTAGATGCATATATCATATAATGCAAATAAAACCAAATAATAAGTTTGAAGAAAGAAACAAATAGAGGAAAATAATAAAAGAAAGGAAATATAATATAAAAATGTAATGAATTATATCTATTACCTAGTTGAAACCAAGCCAAATATACTATCATTTTCCTTTTATTATTGAAATATAAAAAAAACAAAAATCAATATTATAAAAAAAATCCAACACAATCACAAACTTATTTTTAAAATTAAAAATAAAAATAATAAAAGCATAAAATGAATTTTCTTATTCATGAGTATGATGTGGTTATTATTCTTTTTAGCTTTTATCCATTTTTGTCAAAACCCATAAACCATAATCGTCAAATAAAAAAATTTGTATTCTTCGATTTATAATTCTAATAATAACAAATAAAATAACATTGGTTAGAAGGTGATGTATTCACTTTATGAATTTATTTTTATTTTGAGATTTTAATTTCAGTAAATAAAAATTTATTAAGTTCACACACACACACATATATATATTGAGAGTTATGATTAAATTTAAAAGAAAAAGATAAATTAAGATTTAATATATTCAAATTCAAATTTTATGTAAAATTTTTAACTTTTGATAGAGTTTGATTTGAATTTAAATAGTTACCCAAAAATATTAAATTTATATAATTTATTAAATAAATTTTTTTTACAGCAAATAAAAGTTTATTAAGCCTATATATATTTGAAATTATGATTAAATTAAAAAAGAAAAGTAATTTATAATTTAATATATTTAAAATTAAAATTTATGTAAATTTTTTAATATTTTATAGATTTTGATTTGACCAAATATGTAAATTGAGAGCGTATATATAATTTAAATCTCTTATACTCATACATAGTAAATATCCAATTTAACTATATATATATATATATATATATATATAAACAAACATATGAACCAATTTTTTTATAATAAATCAAATCTAAATAATTATATCATATAATATAAATAAAACCAAAAAAAAAGTTGAAAGAAACAAACAAATAGAGGAAAAAAAAAAGAAATAGAATATAAAAAAATAATGAATTATATTTATTACCTAATTGAAACCAATCTAAATGTGTGCTTATTTTCCTTTTATTATTGAAATCTAAAAAAAAAAATAATATATTATAAAAACAAAGAAAAAACAACGCAACACCATCACAAATTTATTTTTAAAACTAAAGAAATAATAATAAAAGAAATAAAAGAATAAAAAGCATAAAATGAATTTATTTGTTCATGAGTATGATGTGATCATTATTCTTTTTAATTTTTACCTATTCATGTCAAAACTCATAAACTATAATAATCAAATAAAAAAAAGATTTTGTTCTTCAATTTCTAATTATAATAATAACAAATAAAATAACATTGGTTAAGGGATGATGCTCTTATTTTATGAGCTCTTTATTTTCATTTTATGATTTTGATTTCAGCAAATAAAAATTTATGACGCTTACACATATAAATATATATATATATATAAATATATATAAAGCCATGATTAAATTTGAAAAGAGAAGATAAATTATGATTTAATATATTTAAATTTAAAATTTATGTAAAATTTTTAATTTTTAATAAAGTTTGATTTGAATTTAAATGATTACCCAAAAATATTTAATTTATATAATTTATTAAATAAAATTATTTGACAAGAAATAAAAGTTTATTAAGCCTATATATATTTGGAATTATGATTAAATTAAAAAAGAAAGATAATTTATAATTTAATATATTTGAATTTAAAATTTATGTAAAATTTTCAATATTTTATAGATTTTGATTTGAATTTAAATAATTATTAAATTTATATAATTATTCAAACATATTAAATTTAAATAATTTATTAAATATAGTTACTTGATAAATAATATTATCCTATATCTCATAAAGAGAGACTATTCACATAAGTATTCATGTCAGCATATCTGTCCAATAACTTTGTATCTTATAAGATAATATATCTTATAATATAATATATATATATATGTAAAGCTATGATTAAATTTGAAAAGAAAAGATAAATTATGATTTAATATATTTAAATTCAAAATTTATGTAAAATTTGTAATTTTTTATAAAGTTTGATTTGAATTTAAATAGTTACCCAAAAATATTTAATTTATATAATTTATTAAATAAAATTATTTGATAGTAAATAAAAATTTATTAAGCCTATATATATTTGAAATTATAATTAAATTAAAAAAGAAAGATAATTTATAATTTAATATATTTGAATTTAAAATTTATGTAAAATTTTCAATATTTATAGATTTTGATTTGAATTTAAATAATTATTAAATTTATATAATTATCCAAACATATTAAACTTAAATAATTTATTAAATAGAATTACTTGATGAATAATATAATATAAATATTATTCTACGTGTCATAAAGAGAGAATATCCACATAGCATCCATGTTAGTACATCTTATCCGATAACTTTGTATCCTATAATATAATATATATATATATATATATATTTATATATATGTAAAGCAATGATTAAATTTGAAAAGAAAAGATAAGTTATGATTTAATATTTTTAAATTCAAAATTTATGTAAAACTTTTAATTTTTGATAAAGTTTGATTTGAATTTAAATAGTTACTCAAAAATATCTAATTTATATAATTTATTAAATAAAATTATTTGATAGCAAATAAAAGTTTATTAAGCCTATATGTATTTGGAATTATAATTAAATTAAAAAAAAAAGATAATTTATAATTTAATATATTTGAATTTAAATTTTATGTAAAATTTTCAATATTTTATATATTTTGATTTGAATTTAAATAATTATCCAAACATATTAAATTTATATAATTATTCAAACATATAAAATTTAAATAATTTATTAAATAGAGTTACTTGATAAATAATATAATATAAATATTATCCTACGTGTCATAAAAAGAGATTATCTGCATAGGTGTCCATATCAACACATTTTGTCTAATAACTTTATATTATATAATATAATATATATTAGATATATATATATATATGTAAAGCTATGAATAAATTTGAAAAGAAAAGATAAATTATGATTTTATATATTTAAATTTAAAATTTATGTAAAATTTTTAATTTTTTATAAATTTTGATTTGAATTTAAATAGTTATCCAAAAATATTTAATTTATATAATTTATTAAATAAAATTATTTGACAACAAATAAAAATTTATTAAGCTTATATATATTTGGAATTATAATTAAATTAAAAAAAGATAATTTATAATTTAATATATTTGAATTTAAAATTTATAAAAAAATTTTAATATTTTTTAGATTATGATTTGACTTTAAATAATTGTTAAATTTATATCATTATTCAAACATATTAAATTTAAATAATTTATTAAATAGAGTTACTTAATAAATAAAATAATATAAATATTATTTTACGTGTCATAAAAAGAGAATATCCACATAACATCCATGTTAGCACATCTTATCCGATTATTTTATATCCTGTAATATAATATATATATATATATATATTAGAATATTATATATATATATATATGTAATGCAATGATTAAATTTGAAAAGAAAAGATAAGTTATGATTTAATATTTTTAAATTCAAAATTTATGTAAAATTTTTAATTTTTGATAAAGTTTGATTTAAATTTAAATAGTTACTCAAAAATATCTAATTATATAATTTATTAAATAAAATTATTTGATAGCAAATAAAAGTTTATTAAGCCTATATGTATTTGGAATTATAATTAAATTAAAAAAAGATAATTTATAATTTAATATATTTGAATTTAAAATTTATGTAAATTTTCAATATTTTATAGATTTTGATTTGAATTTAAATAATTATCCAAACATATTAAATTTATATAATTATTCAAACATATAAAATTTAAATAATTTATTAAATAGAGTTACTTGATAAATAATATAATATAAATATTATCCTACATGTCATAAAAAGAGATTATCTGCATAGGTGTCCATATCAGCACATTTTGTCTAATAACTTTATATTATATAATATAATATATATTAGATATATATATATATATATATATGTAAAGCTATGAATAAATTTGAAAAGAAAAGATAAATTATGATTTTATATATTTAAATTTAAAATTTATGTAAAATTTTTAATTTTTTATAAATTTTGATTTGAATTTAAATAGTTATCCAAAAATATTTAATTTATATAATTTATTAAATAAAATTATTTGACAACAAATAAAAATTTATTAAGCTTATATATATTTGGAATTATAATTAAATTAAAAAAAGATAATTTATAATTTAATATATTTGAATTTAAAATTTATATAAAAATTTTAATATTTTTTAGATTATGATTTGACTTTAAATAATTATTAAATTTATATCATTATTCAAACATATTAAATTTAAATAATTTATTAAATAAAATTACTTAATAAATAAAATAATATAAATATTATTCTATTGTCATAAAAAGAGACTATCCACATAACATCCATGTTAGCACATCTTATTCGATAGTTTTATATCTTGTAATATAATATATATATATATATATATATATATTAGAATATTATATATATATATATGTAATGCAATGATTAAATTTGAAAAGAAAAGATAAATTATGATTTAATATTTTTAAATTCAAAATTTATGTAAAATATTTAATTTTTGATAAAATTTGATTTGAATTTAAATAGTTACTCAAAAATATCTAATTTATACAATTTATTAAATAAAATTATTTGATAGCAAATAAAAGTTTATTAAGCCTATATATGTTTGGAATTATAATTAAATTAAAAAAAGATAATTTATAATTTAATATATTTGAATTTAAAATTTATGTAAAATTTTTAATATTTTATAGATTTTGATTTGAATTTAAATAATTATCCAAACAGATTAAATTTATATAATTATTCAAACATATCAAATTTAAATAATTTATTAAATAGAGTTACTTAATAAATAATATACTATAAATATTATCCCATGTGTCATAAAGAGTTATTATCTACATATGTGTCTATATCAATACATTTTGTCCAATAATTTTATGTCCTATAATATAATATACTTTGGATATATATATATATATGTGTAAAGCTATGAATAAATTATGATTTTATATATTTAAATTTAAAATTTATGTAAAATTTTTAATTTTTGATAAATTTTAATTTGAATTTAAATAGTTATTCAAAAATATTTAATTTATATAATTTATTAAATAAAATTATTTGACAGCAAATAAAAATTTATTAAGCTTATATATATTTAGAATTATAATTAAATTAAAAAAGATAATTTATAATTTAATATGTTTGAATTTAAAATTTATATAAAAATTTTAATATGTTTTAGATTATGATTTAAATTTAAATAATTATTAAATTTATATAATTATTCAAACATATTAAATTTAAATAATTTATTAAATAGAATTACATGATAAATAATATAATATAAATATTATGTATCATGAAAAGAGATTATTCACGTCATATCAACACATCTATTGGATAACTTTGCAACATGTAATATAATATATATTAGGTTAAAAAAAAATATTAGAGCCAATCTTAAAAATTTCTTAACTTCTCCCTTAAAAAAAAGAAACTCGAGGACAGACAACCCCACATCAATCCAAGTCTTTTGCTGGTCAACATTGCTATCTATGGCCATCTCCGCCTGAAAGTTCCCTGCAAAGTTTTTCTTTTTTATTATTATTATCAAATGGAAGACAAGGAAGAGTTTCTCAAGGAATTCGGTGACTATTACGGTTATCCCAACGGCCCAAAAACCATCAACGAAATTCGGGCCACCGAGTTCAAGCGATTAAAAGGTCAACTTTGTTTTTCTTTGAAAATTTCCCCCTTTTTTGTTGATATCTATATTCCTTTTATTGTTGCCAAGTAATAAATAATTGAACTTTGAGAAGATAAAATGAAAAGTTAGGAATTTTGATGCTTTGGATACTTTGATTAGCTATTTGAGCTTTGGATATTGTAGATACTGTGTATTTGGACCATGCCGGAGCAACCCTTTACTCCGAGTTGCAGATGGAAGCTATCTTCAAAGATCTTACTACTAGTGTTTATGGAAATCCCCGTATCCTCTTTGCTCCAAAACATGTATTGTTTCGCTTTGAATCTGTCAAATTCAAACTGTTCTTATGTTTTATTCAATGATTCTATATCTTCCTTTTCGACTAATATCTTCCATATTGTCTGTTAATGATTTTACAAATGATCATGACTTGAGTTCTTTAAAGAACTGAGCGTAAAACCTTTAGCAATATCTGCTACTGCATTGGTTGGTTTCCATTTTACTAATGCATTAATTCGTGTAGTTGGTGGTGTATTTTTGGAAGAAAAGCTAGAGATTGATTCTGTTGATCTCTTTTGGTCAGTATTGTCTCACCCATTCCCAGAAAATATGAGCCTTTTGGTGATATCCGGTATTGTGTTTGTTTGTTTCGATTATTACAATGTATTAACTTGGGTATGGTCAGTGTTTTTGGATGAAAAGCTAGAGATTTCTATTGTTGTTTCTCCGTTTTGGTCAATATTGTATTGTCTTACTCGTGCTTGAGAAATATGAGGTCTTGTATGGACCTATATCTTATGTTCTCCTTGACTATTTTTATACTCTTTTCTTTTTAAATGGAAATTTGTTGCATACTTGGTTTCTTTTATGGCTACCTTTTATCAAGTGAAAATTCCTTAATCTGAATATAGATAGCCAAAGTGATTCTAGTTCAACCACTAGTGACATTGTAAGGGAAGCACGCCAACAGGTACTATATACTTGCTATCAAGACTGATGAAAGTTACTTTACTCTGTTTTCTTTTCTTGTTCTTCGTTCTTTGCTCAGTTCTGTTTTAAAATTCATAGATTTCAATTAACCTGGTTTTCCATGATCTATGAAATCTTAAATGAGTAGTTCATAGATATGGGTAGTTGTGCTCTAATTTGATTTGTGCCCACAAGTTAATAATCTTTTATTGTCTGTGGTATCAATAATTATCTTTTTTTTTCCTTGATATATAGGTCCTTGATTACTGCAATGCTTCTCCAAAGGATTATAAATGCATATTCACTTCTGGGGCAACAGCTGCATTGAAACTTGTAGGGGAGAACTTTCCATGGAGCTGTAAGAGCACCTTTATGTACACAATGGAAAATCATAATAGTGTACTTGGTATTAGAGAGTATCCTACCACTTCTTTATTTTTGCCCACTTCTATTTTTGGGTGTATAAGTGTATATAGTGGCTAGTCCAATCATGCTATGATTTTTTTTTTTTCTAAATTCATCTTATTTCCATAGTGATATTAGTTATACTATATTTTGTTTTGTATACTATATGGCTGAATAGGATCAACATTCTTGTTCCTTCTTGTAGTAATCTTGAATCTATGAGTTTATTTGTCCTTAGTAATTTATAGATATGCTCTCAATCAAGGAGCTGCAGCCTTTGCAGTAGATATAAAAGAGGCTGTGGATCAGGATGGAGCATCTAGAAGCTCTGTGAATTCAGTTAAGGTATCACAGCATCCAGTACAGAGAAGAAATGAAGCTGAAGTTTTGGAAGGGGAGCTTACAGGTAATATTTTGATAAATATTTCAAAAACAACATTCATGTTTTCTTTCTTTTTAAATTATAATCATTATAATTATTTCATGATTGTAGCTTCATTTCCTTGGAAATCATATGGAGTCCTTACCACTCTTTAGCTTCATTTCTTTTTTTATTATTGCAGGTGATGCTTATAATTTATTTGCCTACCCCTCAGAGTGCAATTTCTCTGGAGTGAGATTTAGTCTTGATTTGGTGAATATTGTTAAGCAAAACGCTGAAAAAATTTTGAAAGGCTCTCCATATTCAAAGTATGTAGTTTTCATACCATGCATCTTGTATAAAACATATTTTTCTGCTTTTTACCACTAATAGCAGGAGCCTGATCTGAAAATTTCACTTTCTATGCAATTTTCTATGTGGAACCCACAAACCATAATGAAATAAAACAGTTCAAGTTAACCAAAACAGGCAAAATCTGAAGGAAACTTGATACTTACATTTACAAAGGGGCCTGTTTTGGCTGGTTTTTAATTGAATTGTAATGGATAAATGAGCTTTCCTTGCTCATTAAATCCTGTTGTAATAAGATATTTTGCCCCATTAATTTTTTTTCTCCTGGTTATTCATTAGTTTAGTTTAGATGCTCTTTAAATGCATTGCTGTAGCATAGATTAGGTAATCGTCACTGTTTTATGATTAGGGGACGTTGGATGGTCTTAATTGATGCTGCAAAGGGCTGTGCAACACAACCTCCAGATTTGTCAATTTATCCTGTGGATTTTGTTGCAATCTCATTTTATAAGGTATACGTATGAGACCTTTCACGGACTTTACTGGTGGCTGAGACTCAGAAGGAACTAATCTTACAGAATGCTGTTTTGCCTTTGCATTGTTATTCTGAAGTTGTTTGGCTATCCAACTGGACTTGGTGCTCTAATAATTCGGAATGGTAAGTGGTTGAGTCTGTAGATTACTTCTGAAGTTATTCCCTTATGGTGGTATTAGGAGTTTTTGTACACAAGACTAAGATAGATCCTGTCAGATATTGTGGCTATGTGCCTGTGCCTGCCTAATTGGCTTGTAATAATAATAATAATAATAATAATAAATGAATCTTTTTTCATTAAGCACTATTGATTTGCTCTTTTAATTTTTTTTATTGTAGCATAGACTTTCCTCTTCCTTTTTTTTAAGCTGGGGTCGTCCTGCCATAAAAGGTCTAGAATGGTTTTGACTATGATGCATTTGTTGGCAATTCATTCAGGGCTGATTTTGCTGTTTCTGAAAGTATGGATCACCCTTGACAATAGTAGTTTGATTTTCAACTTGGATCTTGCTTGAATTGTCTGGAAAGGGAAAGTTTAGATGAGTTGTGAAAGAAATGGATATAATGAGTTTTATCATTTTCATTGCACAATGTTTTTCAGCATTTCATTAATTTATATTTCTTTTTCTTTTCATAATCTGTAGAATAAATCCTGATTAAGTAAATCAAATTTTAAGAACTGAAAATGTTTTTAAATGGTTTTCTAATATCCTTTTTACTTTTCTTTTCCTTTTAGATGCTGCTAAGTTATTGAAGAAGACCTATTTTAGTGGAGGTTTGTACCTATAATTCTTATTGATGGTCACATATGCTGTAGTTATTTTGTTAGTTAACCATAAACTTTACAGGTACCGTTGCTGCTTCAATTGCTGATATTGACTTTGTCAGAAGACGAGACGGTGTTGAGGAGCATTTTGAGGATGGCACCATTTCATTCCTTAGCATAGCATCTATCCGTCATGGATTTAAAATATTTAATACCCTCACTACCTCTGCAATGTGCCGGTATGAAAATATTGATTTCAATAATGGTGAAAATTTGAAAGATTTTATAAGAGTTATGAAGTTTAAGTGTATTTTGTATTATATATCTTATATCATTGTCATGTTCACCTGATGGAATGTTTCCATTAGCTTATTGCATGACTTTACTATTCTATTTGTTCATGTATATTGGGTTTCTGTCTCCTGTACATTGTTATTTATAAGTATTTGATAGTCCTTTGTTCTTTTTGGCCAATGATGGTCCTTTGTTTGATTACTCTTTCCTCTTGCAATAACTTGATTCTGATCAAATATAGAATGCTGGAGTTGGCATGTTTGCTCCGATAACTAAATATTTATGGATCATGCTTTTCTGAATTTATTTTGTTTACAGTTCACGTAGGATATGCAGCATTATAATTGTGTTTTTCTTTTTGAGTCTGTTAACCATGACGGAATGTGCTTGATTTTATTTTCTGATCATGATGAAAGTGATTAAGTTTCTCTTCAGAGAGGGTTACAAATAAATGTCTCTGCCATATTATGTTTTCCTCTGTTTTTACATTATGTTATTGTTTCCTTTTCCTATTAAGATAAGTAATAATAGAGCTTTTCTTTTTGCATAGTATGTTAAAGTAATTTATATGGATGCCTCCAATTTACGTATTTTTCCCCCTCCCCTCCCCTTCTTCCATTCTCTTTTAGGCATATCATGTCACTTGCCATGTTTTTGAAGAAGAAGCTCTTAGCTTTCCGACATGAAAATGGAGAAAGTGTCTGCACACTTTATGACAATACTAGTTTGAAGGTTAGTTACATAACTTAAAGCAGTATGTAAACTCGATGTTCCCAAGTAAGTGTGAGTTGTAGCTTGTTATTACTGCTTCAAATGTACTCCAAATGTTAAAAGAAAAAAAAAAAAAAAGAAAAAGATGGGAATCTGCACGTATTACTTGGTTCTTGGTTTTTGTTTAAAATACATTTTTGTTAATAAGGCATTTCAATATTCCAGCTGGATACTTGCCATATGCACAGTTCCATAATCACCATTTCCGGTTGGGTAATGCATATTACTTTGTGTGGGATTCCAGTATAATTTTTTTTTTTTTAAATTGCTTACCCTGGTCTGTTTGGATGCATGAAGCTTAAGGATAAGGTGCTTTGATTGTGCTTTCTATTCTAGTATTATCCTTTTTTGTTTTTCTGGAATTATTAACCTGTTCTAAATGTTTTGCAACTATTCTTGTAGGTTTCTAGTCATGACTCTGGCTCAATTGTCTCATTGAACCTGAAAAGACCTGATGGTTCTTGGTTTGGATATCGGGAGGTGGAAAAATTGGCATCCTTATCTGGAATTCAGCTACGGGTAAATTCTAAGAAATGTCTAGAGCAAGCATGCCTGCATAAATTGTGGAAAAACTAAGAAATAAAATTGTTTGGAAAACTAAAGCTGAATGTATATTGAAAGAAATTGCTCATTAAGAATTATACAAGAACCTTAGGTTTATATACAACTAACTAGGGGTTAAACTAGGAAACTAAATCTTCCTAAAAACTGATCTTATAATTGAGGGATTGTCTATCCTAATATTTTGTCCATAATTTTGGGGATACAAATATAAATATACAGATTACAAAATTACAACCAGCTGTAAATAAGTGTTTTCCCACACTTTCCCTCAAGCTGGTGAATAGGTGTTTTTCATTCCCAACTTGGAAATAATTTCTTGAAATATTGCACTGCTGGGACCTTTAGTCAACACATTTGCAAGTTGACCCTTGGTTGATACATAAGGTGTACAAATCAACCCATTGTCTAGTTTCTCCTTTATGAAATGCTGGTCTACTTCAATGTGTTTTGTTCTGTCATGTGGGACAGGATTGTGTGCAATGCTTATTGCAGACTTGTTATCACAGTAGAGTCTCATTGGTCCATCCCACTTGATTTTCAAGTCTTCTAGGATATTCTTTAACCATAGTAGTTCACAAATTCCTTGAGCCATAGCTCTGAACTCTACTTCAATACTTGATCTTGCGACCACATTCTATTTTTTACTCCTCCAAGTCACAAGATTATCACCTAAGAAAGTGCAGTAGCCTGAGGTGGATCTTCTATCAGTTACTGAATCTGCATAATCAGCATCTGTATATGCTTCTAGAACTAGCCCCGAATTTCTTTTGAATAAGATACCTCTCCTAGGATTGGCCTTCAAATAGTTTAATACACGGTAGACAGCCTGTAGGTGCACTTCTTTAGGATTATGCATAAATTGACTTACTACACTCACAACATATGCTATATTAGGTCTAGTATGTGAGAGATACATGAGTCTTCCAACTAATCTTCGGTACATCTCTCTATCTACAGCAACATTTTTATTAGCTTCTCCAATTTTATGATTAGGATCTATAGGGGTATTTGCAGGTTTACATGCGAGCTTCCCACTTTCTTTCAAAAGATTCATCACATATTTTTGTTGTGAGATGAAAATACCATGCCGTGAGTGAGCTATTTCAATTCCTAGAAAGTACTTCAATCTCCCTAGCTCTTTTATCTCAAATTCTCTAGCCAAACACTGTTTTAGAGATTCTCTCTCTTTTTCATCATCTCCAGTTACAATTATATCATCAACATACACTAATAGAACTGTGACTCTCCCTAAATCAGAGTGCTTAATAAACAATGTGTGATCTCCTTGACTCTGTTTATATCCCATTGCTAGCATCACTTTGGCAAATCTCCCGAACCAAGCTTTAGGAGAACCAAGCTTTAGGAGACTGTTTAAGGCCATATAAAGCCTTTTTCAGCTTGCATGCTTTGTTTGCTTCTAGATGACCTCCAAATCCCGGTGGAATCTTCATATATATTTTTTCTTCCAAATCACCATGTAGAAAAGCATTCTTTACATCAAATTGTTGAAGCTGCCAATTGTAATTTGCAGCCAATGATAACAAAATCTTAATTGTATTCATCTTGGCAATTGGAGCAAAGGTTTCCTGATAATCCACTCCATAGGTTTGAGTGTAGCCCTTAGCCACTAACTTGGCTTTATACCTTTCAACAGTACCATTTGCCTTGTATTTTACTACCAATTGTAATTTGCAGCCAATGATAACAAAATCTTAACTGTATTCATCTTGGCAACTGGAGCAAAGGTTTCTTGATAATCCACTCCATAGGTTTGAGTGTAGCCCTTAGCCACTAACTTGGCTTTATACCTTTCAACAGTACCATTCGCCTTGTATTTTACAGTGAATACCTATTTACACCCCATTGGATTTTTTCCTTTAGGCAACTCTACTAGTTCCCATGTCTTATTTTTCTCTAAGACCTCTATTTCTATTTTCATGGCTTGCCTTCTTTTCTCACTGGATAATGCCTCAGATAATGTAGTTGGAACATAAATAGTGTTTAGGCTCACAAGAAAATTTTTGTGGGATGGTGAGAATTTTTCAAATGACACAAAATTAGAGATTGGGTATAGTGGATGCTTAGTACATTCTCTAGTTCCTTTCCTAATGGCAATAGGCAGATCATAATCACTAGTTATAGTTTTAGGAGATTCATGTTCATTTTGAGAAACAAAGTCAAAAGCTATAGTTACCTTATTTCCATAGTTAGGATCAGGTTCTTAGACTGGCACTGGTTCGGGATCTAGAACTTTCCTTCTTGAGTACATCTGTAATTCCTTCATAGAATCAAGAACAATATTATCCTTTGTCACATCTTCTATGTTTGGAATGGGTTCAAACTCAAATTCAGTGTTTGACTTGGGCTCAGTAGAAACATGTTTCGACTCAAAAGAATTAATGGGTGAAAATGTTGAAGAAGAGGACAAATCAAGCAAAAAGAAGTCTTTATCCTTATCTTCCATGAATGAAGTCTCCCCCTGAAGATAAGGTTGAGTAAAAAATGGTTTACTTTCTTCAAAAGTGACATCTGTAAACACATAGAATTTTTTGGTAGGAGGATGATAGCACTTAAACCCTTTCTGAGTTGATGAATACCCCACAAAGATACACTTAATCGCTCTTGGATCCAACTTTCCCTTATTATGACTGTGAACATGAACAAATGATGTACAATCAAATATCTCAAGTGTGAGATTGTTTGTGGTATTAAGGTTGGGATAGAATTGTGAGAGTAGTTCTATAGGAGTTTTAAATCCCAAAACCCTTGAATGTAACCTATTTATAATGTGTGTGGCAGTGAGAACAGCTTCCCCCCAATAAGATTTGGGTACATTTTCTTGAAAAAGGAAGGCTTGGGTTGTGGCTAGTAAATGACTGTTTTTCCTTTTTGTCACTCCATTATGTTGTGGAGTGTTAACACAAGATGACTCATGGATAATCCCTTCCTTTTGGAAATAGGTGGATCGACTCTTTTTGAAATAGTTTCTTGCATTATCAGACCTAAATCTCTTGATTTTCACTCCAAATTGATTTTGGATCATGTTTTGGAAGCTTAAAAATACACTATTCACATCTGATTTGGATTTAAGTAAAAAAACCCAAAAGACCCTGGTACAATCATCTATGAATGAAACAAACCATCTTGCACCAGAAATATTCGGAATTGTAGAGGGACCCTAAATGTCACTATGAATCAAGTAAAAGGGAGTAGAACTTCTTTTGTTACTAATTGCAAAAGACACTCGTCCGTGCTTTGCAAGTTCACAAACATCACAATGAAAATCTACGACGTTTAATCCTTTGAACAGAGATGGAAACATGTTTCTCAAAGTTCTAAAAGAAGATGTCCAAGATGAAAATGATAAAGCCAGATTTTGTCTTTATTGGAAGATTTTTAAGAAAGAAATGACAAAGGTAAACTATTCTTGATATTACTTGTGTTATTTGATGTCTCAAGATAGTATAGTCCATCCTTCTCCTTAGCAAGTCCAATCCTTTTCCCGAACTCTGGTCCTGAAATTCACAATAAGAGGGATAAAAAGTCACTTTGCAGTTCATATCTTTGGTAAGTTTTTGTATAGATATCAGATTAGTAGACAATCCAGGAACATGAAGAACATTTTTAAGAACAAACGAGGGATTAACTTGAACATCTCCTAATCCTGCCACTGTAGTATATGAACCATCTGCAGCAACAATTTTCTTATTACTAGGATACAGGGTATACGTACTAAACTTCTGTGAGGAATGTGTCATATGGTCTGTGGCTCTTAAGTCAATGACCCAAGAACACATAATAGGCTTAACCGAAACATTTAATCCATGAGAACCAGAAGCTTTACCTGAACTAGAGACCTTACCCAAGGAACATACCACAATAGGCTTTTCAATAGGTTTCTCAGCTTTTCAATCTCTTCTCTGTCGAACTCTCCTTGTTTCTAAGACATCTGTAGTACTCCGATGATTTTTCCAGTTGACACTTCTTCAAATTGGATGGTAGTGATATCTTTTTTTGAACTGAAACAAGTCTTAAGATATAACCAGAAATGACTTTTAGTTATGAAGGCTAAAGAAGGAAAAAATAGAATGGTTATGAAGGCCTTAACAGGGTTCGGCAATGAAGGCCTAAAATAAAAGTCAGTAATGAAGGCTGAAAATTTGCTTCCCAAGAAGAGGCTAAAGCTTTGATACCATGTGGAAAAACTAAGAAATAAAATTGTGTAGAAAACTAAAACTGAATGTATATTGAAAGAAACTGCTCATTAAGAATTATACAAGAACCTTAGATTTGTATACAACTAACTAGGGGTTAAACTAAGAAACTAAATCTTCCTAAAAACTGATCTTATAATTGAGGGATTGTCTATTCTAATATTTTGTCCTTAATTCTAGGGATACAAATACTTAATTTTAGAGATATAAATATAAATATACAGATTACAAAATTACAACCAGCTATAAATAAATGTTTTCCCACATAAGCAAACAGTGATTTGTGCTCTGGTTTAGTGCTTGCTTGCCAAAGTGCCTTTTTTCTGTCTGATATATTCCGTAGTTGGGTAACAGAAAGTATGCAAACACCTTTATATATCGTTCATATCCACAAAATGTTTTTTAATAGCATGAAGAAACTTTCTAGCTTTCTGCTACTGTATCAATTTATCTGATGCCTGCTTATACAATGTTCTAGGAAACTGGTGATTGTCGATCTAGGGGAAGATTAAAGCTATAAGTGACTGCGGTCGTTTTAATAGCTCAGTGACTAATTCTTGTCTTACTGGTGCTGTTTTATTTTAGACAGGATGCTTTTGCAATCCTGGTGCTTGTGCAAAATATCTTGGCTTGTCCCACTCAGATCTTCTTTCTAACCTAGAGGTATCCCTTTCTTCTGGTTGGTTCATAATTGTGGGGCCATATTTTAGTGTTTAAGTTATATTGACTTTGTTGATTTTACTGGAAGTTGAAAGAAATAAAATGAGCCTTGCTTTGGATTCAGGCTGGGCACGTTTGCTGGGATGACAATGATGTAATAAATGGAAAACCAACTGGAGCTGTTAGAGTATCTTTTGGTTACATGTCAACTTATGAAGATGCCAAGGTAGTTGCTTCTTTGCTATCTTATGAGTTGTACCCTTTATTTCTATTCCAGGAAAATAGGTCTTTTTTCTTTTATTGTATCCATTCATCAGCTGTTATGTCACATGGAGTATAGAATTAATTTCCCATTTTAAAAGAATAAATAATCGATTAGAACTTCTGTCAGGACTGTTGATTTTCAGATATAACATGTTATGGTTGCCATAGATAATAACATGTTATGATATATTTTTTGGATCTTTCTGACATTCATTCTGTTTGATAGTGCGTAATAACAGTTGTTGCTTTTTTTCCTCACTATGCAGAAATTTATTGATTTTATAAGAAGTTCCTTTGTATCAATACCAAGTGAGTTCAAGAAAGGATATCTGCTCAGAGCAAAGTCAAATCCATATCCAACTGAAGGTTAATGTTTGATTCGTACTATATTTTCCTATGGCTCGATTGGCAAATTATTTCCACTGTAAACTAGTGTCACTTAATGTTATTAGACTAATAATATTAACAACTATAAGTTCATTTTAAAGACCATAAGTATTTATATTACTATAAACAGAATAGAGCTAACAGAAAGAAGAGGAGAGAGAAATAAGACATAATAGATAAGAGCTAGAATGGTGAAGGAAGAGTGGGGAAAATCTTAAGTCTATACAATGCTCAATAACAAAACCAGCACGGGCAATATTCTCCAAATAACATAGTTATATGATTTCTTTTTAACCATTTATAGGCCACAGAAAATTAAGTAAAAGAAAATAAAATAATATTCTATTTTCCAAACTTTTGCCCATGGTAGATACACCAAAAACCTTGCATGGAGCTACATCACTCAATAACAAAACCTGCACTGGAAATAGTCTCCAAATGACATAGTTATATGATTTCTCTTAAACCATTTATAGCCCCAAAATTCTCACATGATTCTCCTCAATCATATAGTACACTATTAGATGTCTTCTGATTTTCAATGTTAATTCATCATTTAATCTTTTTATTTGGAACTGTGATGCTTGTACTTTTTTGTGTCATTTTACAGGGACTGCTGTGCATTGTTAGTTAAGTTTTGCATGGTGCATCACATCCTTTTTTCTATTCTTCTAAGAGGATTGGCCTTCTGTTTCTACCATCATTTTGTACCTAAAGTTGCCAGTGGCATCAATGTTACTCTAACCATGTGGCGTGGAGTCCCATGTTGTCAAAATGACAAAATTTATGTCGATATTCTACTATTGGCTTTTCTGCTTGAGCAGAATAACACTTTGTTGTTTCTGAACTACAGGCATTGAAAATCGACTATCAAGTTCTGGTTGCTACCTTAAGTCCATCACCATCTATCCAATAAAATCATGCGCAGGTTTCAGTGTGCAAAGTTGGCCTCTGAGCAGTGCTGGTATATGGCTAGGATATTGGCTTCTGTAGTAGTATATGGTTAAACAATCATGATTTGTTTCTTTCCTTTCATTCATAACTAAAGCTCAAACTGAATTGTCTATAACCAAGTTGATGATTTTTTATGTATGTATGTTATTGTTTCTCTTTTTAAATTTTGTGTTATTTCCCATGGTGATAACATTTAATCTTTATGATTGCTTACCATCATAATGTTTACACAAATTTCTACATTGTTTTGAAAATGGTATACCATGGCATCATTTAGTTCTGTTGAGGCCTACTATTTTCCTAATTGTAATAGGATTGAGTAGGCAAATGAATAAAAATATGATACCTCAACCTAAAATTGAAGCCATCGCAATCTACACACACTTTCCATAGTATGAGGTATTGCATCTCTTCCAAGCTTGTTTATGCTTTGAATGAAAAATAAATATTGCTTTTCTATTTTAGATCTAGAAGTTGAATCCCTCGTTGGTCCTTTTTGTGTATGCATGCACAGAAGATTTTTGCTTGCTGATTTCTCTCCCTGCCTATGATGTAGATCTAAAAGATCTTTTCATTATTTACCCTTCTATCCAGGTCTGAAATATGATCGAGAATGGCTTCTTAAAAGCTGGACTGGAGAAATTCTTACACAAAAGAAGGTGAATGGTTTCTCTGCTTAGAAGAGTTGTGTGCATGCTGTTGGTTTTTGTAATTTTATGTATTTTATCCTTATTATTGGTTAATATTTTAGGTGCATTTTATGTGAAGAACAATAAGATGGCTAACACCCTGCCCCAAGAATATTCTTCTTAGAGATACTTAATACTCAGCAATTCTATGGCTATTTTTTTTTTTTGAGCTTGCTAAAACTATTAAATAGGTGGTGCTTGAGCAGCTTGGAATAAGCTGTTAGAAGAATTCATCTTCCAACAGCTATAGCATGGACTATATTCACTTAAAAAACTCTCCATTTTTAAGGATAAACGGATACTAGATATTTTGATTGCTTCACTTGGTTGACATGGAATGTGGTGATTAATGAAATTCCATTTATTGAAGATATTATGACTGTGGACAACTAAATGAAGATAAGGAGCCTGGTACGAGAACAACGTGAAATTATGTCTGGCTTGTGTACAACATATGCCTTATAATATTTGTTCTATAAGATTGTTTAGCAGTTTTCTTTCTAAAAAAAAAAAAAAACCTTAATGTATTGTACTATCTACTTTTGGAAAGGAATTTATTTTTCTAGATTGGTTTTTAAGATCAAACATTAATTTATCCTATTTTGCTTTGTAGGTTCCGGAAATGTCCCTCATTAGCACCTTCATTGACCTCAATCAGCAGATATTGTCTGTAGAGTCACCCTGTTGTGAAGGGAAGCTGCAGATCAAAGTAGACTCTGATTCCTATCTTTGTGGGAAAGAAGAATTTTATTTGCATAGCCAAAGGTGTGATATGATCATATGAATCTACATTTTTTATAGGAATTATTAAGTTATGTTATTTAGTTGGAATGTGATGTGCATTTATTTTTTGAGTTCCAAAAGTTTTCCTGTTGAAAGTACTTGTTGGTTATATATTTATGGAAAATGGTGGATTGGTAGAACTTCTGAAAAATCCCATTTTTTTTTGCATCAATTTTCCTAAATTTTGCTTGCAGTATTATGAAGTGAATACACAGGTTAATAATGTTTTAAGATGCATGTTGATTATTGAACTCATCTTCTAAATTTGATGCATTTCTTTCCAAATATTCTTAGTCTACATGATATTTCTGTTAATTTTTGCATTTAAAAACAGTTCTCTAGACCTACATATTGAGAAGTGGCTAGAATATGAGAAACTAGAAATTGTTTCAACTGGAAGTAAACAAGTATTTGGTAGAAGAAATCCAGGACTAAAAGTTGATGCTGTTTGAGTCTGATGTATGTTGTCGCTTTGGTTGGATAGATCTATGAGAAGTCTCATTCAATTACCATATGGTAAAGCCAAATATGGGACAATAAAAGGAATTGAACGTGAAGTGTATGAGGTAGAAACTCTCAAGTACAGTCTTAACTTAGGAAACTGACCTCTATGGAAAGGTCAAATATGGGACAACAAAGAATTGAGTGTGACATGTATGAGGTTAAAACTCTCAAGTACAGTCTTAACTTAAGAAACTGACCTTGCTTTTCAGACTGGAACGAATAGGCCATTCAACAGGGATATTCTGAAACTGCAGAGGCTTGGTTTGACCAAGTCATTGTGTATTGAAAACAGGCTATAGAAAGTGCTTATTGTAGTCATGTTGAAGGCAGAAATTGCTTAAAGATCATGAGGTAACTTATGCAAGGGTATGGAAAATCAAATTTCGAACCCCATTAAAAGAGCTGAAATGTATTAGAACTTCTGAGTTTAACTGGTTTTTAGTTGATTGATGTTTCCTAAAAATATTAAGGCTGCTATTCAGTGAAAAATGAGAGTTTGTGTTGATTCTATTTGCAAGAATGGAAGACCATCAAGCATGGACCCATTTTCTGGTATGAGCAACAATATGGCAACATGTATAAACGTGTGACACTTAGACACGCTTTCAAGAAAAGGTTGATATTGCAAATATCCAATGGTGGAGTGAAAATTAATTACACTATAGAAATGTCTGTATACTTTTCTTTTATACTTGAATCCTAATGTAACAGATGTAATGTTTTGATCATATCCATTACTGTCATTTCAAAGATTGCAGCATAATGGTTATTTCTCGATCATCAGATATGAAGTCCGATGTTATGAAAATGAAATCGATCAATGGTTCAGTAATGCTGTTGGTCAACCTTGCTCTTTAGTGCGATGTTGCCATTCCCAGTATTGCTCTACTTTGAGCAACAACGGAAGTATGGGAATGTGCAGAGATGTGGACAGCAGGGTGAATTTTGCAAATGAAGCTCCGTTCTTATTGATTTCTGAGGAGAGTGTATCTGACCTCAACAACAGACTATGCTCAAGTATGGTTTTCAACTAACTCTTTTACTATCACATAAGAAGCTGAAATTTGCTTTCACTCAATATGGTTTTAGTGAACATCATTCTTCCTGGATGTCTGGAACCCAGTGATGAAATGTTCAAATTTTTGGCAAATTTTAGCATTCGATGGGATTTGCTACAAAATTGTAGGTTATACCTTCCTTGTGGCAGCATTTTACTGTGCATCAGAATCATTCAACTACTTTAACTATTGTGACTTTTATGCTGATTAACCTTGAAATTCTACACTCTACAGGAGCTTAAGACACATACAGCTTCCTTATAATCTCAAATTTAATTTCCTGTATCAATGAATGTTAGCTTGTGCCATATGGTTGATCGATATCTGTCCTTCCAAATGACTTTTGCATGTAAAAAAGTTCTGGGATATCATTTTCAACATGTTAGATTGATTCAACTGCCCCTCCAATCCACAAAAAATAAATAAATACATAAATATACACACACATGTAGCGGTCACACTAATGTGGCTCATTTTGTTTGATGTTATTTATATTGGATACATTTTGCCTTTAATTATGCTGTAACACTCTTTTACAGCTTTTGCACGCTTCCTATTTTAGATTCTACACTGATCTCTATGTTAGGAAATGGATAATTGTCTGTTTAAATAACAGCTTTTTTGCAGTGTTCATGCTAATCCATTCTGAGATTTGCAAATCAGTTTTATAAGATAAATTATTTTCGTTCTGTTCTTTAAAGTGATATTACATCTATTAACTATTTTTTTGTTACCAGATACTCAAAAACACTCTGTTGGTGCCCCAGCTTATGTCAACCCAATGAGATTTCGGCCCAATCTTGTCATATCTGGAGGTGAACCATACGCTGAAGATGGATGGAGAAATCTTAAAATTGGGAACACATATTTTACAGTAAGTACTGCACCTTTAACGTTATTTACCTGCTTTCCTATATTATCTGGAATGGCAAATTAAGAGTTTTGGCTGACTTAGATGACATGGCTTACTTATCTGCGCACTGATTTTTTTTAACCCTTCAAGTTATTACTGCTTGCTGTTTACGGTTTCTGCTATACCTTGTAATTTCTATTTCTGTTCAAGCTATACCGTCCGAACTTATATATTTGTATTTTGTTATATTTGGGTGGTAGGCAGAATGACAAGAGCTAGTAAATTGGAATTTGATTATGTGAAGGAAGAAGCTGCTGGCCCTTATTTATTTTACTAGTTTGGAGGAATATGCATTGCTTACAAAAAGCCAATAAATATAAACTCATTATGCACTGCAAACGTGGACTTTCTTAAATAACTATTTCTTGCTCAGTCTTTAGGTGGTTGCAACCGCTGCCAGATGATCAATTTTTATCATCAAACAGGGCAAGTGAAGAAGACGAGTGAACCTTTGGCAACTCTAGCATCGTACAGAAGAGTGAAAGTTAGCTATAGCAATTTAAATTAAATCTGTTGCTTTCTTGGTTTCCAAATTGCAATGCAAGTGATATTAAGTTTTATTGATTCAGGGGAAGATTTTATTTGGGATTTTGCTGAGGTATGATCCTGGTAATAGGGCTGGCTTGGATACAAATTCGTGGCTTACAGTGGGAGAGGAAGTTCACTCAAATTCAGAATGAAAGGGATGGACATAGAAAAACCTATTTGTTGTAGAAGCATACATGTGTAGGAAATATTACATACCCCTGAACAGTGGGATACACAAAGTTCACAACATTAAACAAGGGTCTCAGCTTTGAAAATGATAGTGTCATTCCCGAATGCTCTAACTGCCAAGCCAGCTATTGTTTTATATAACGAACAATTTGCGGATATGCTGATTTGCCGTTGAAACAGGATATATTGCATAGCCTTTTCCTGTAAGTTTATCATCGTTTTAGAGTAATTTGTTGCTTTCTTATTTTGGTTGAGTAATATCCATGACAAAATATATAGATATGTTGCAATCCTAACCAAACAAGAATAGGAAGACAAGATTTTCGGTTTACCTTTATTCAAATTGAAATTATAAAATTTGGTGAAATTCCAACAAAACATTGGACTGATGCTTGATTTATTAGACCTCGGTATCATTTAATCAAGATCCATGACAGTTTCAAGGAAGGTGTTCTTCACGTTAAATGCCAGCATAAGCTATATATATCATCTATCTATATCTATATATAAAAGTATAAATTTTAAAAGTCTTAAAAGTGTATGATATAAATACTCTTATGAATTTTAATAACAAATTTACTTTTAAATTTCTAGCATTCTTTATTTATTTAATAAACATTATTTGTCATTAAATATATAGTTTTTATTAGTTAGTTATTTAAATTTAGATCTAAAAATATTAAAAATGAATAACATAAATACCTTTATAATTTTTAAAAAATAACAAATATATATTTCAATTTCTAGCATTATTTATTTATTTAATAATGATTATTAGTCATTAAATAAATAGTTTTTTATTAGTTATTTAAATTTAAATCAATTAAAAATTTACAAATAAAATTTATATTAAATTAAAATACATTAAAATTTTATTTGTGGGATATGGTGGATCTGTTATCGAAAATTAATTTAAATTTACTCACATTTTTATTTTTAGTTCTTTTTTGTTAAATTTCTTAAGTAATAATTCAATTAAATTCATATAAACACATTTCTTATCCTATGGATTGTGACATATTATAAGTCCATGATATTGAACAAAACATAAACAAAATCTTTTCTGTGTTTCTCAATTACTAAATGTTTTAGTTTAAATTATTAGATCATAAGATCTATATCCCAAAAATATTTAACTTTATCTTAAGTAAAGCATATAATTTTTCATTTTCAAGATACAATCTAATTTATTCTTTATCTTTTTTAATGTTACATATCATGAATCCTTAAATATACTTATATTTTTTATTTATTTATTTTATATTAATTAAAATTAAAGTTCATACAAAATTATAAATTAAATTATCAAAAAAATTACTAAAACAGAATAATATACGTATTATGGTAAGTTGTATGTTTTATTTTTTTATTTTTATGATAAATATACACTTATATGCTTAATGATTGCAGTGATTGATTATAATATTTTTAATCGCTTTATGCAATCACACCTTAACATTAAAATGCCTAAATGAATCTTTACTTTATAAACATAATCTCACGTACCATTGAATTGTTACTAAACTTAGTTTTTATTTTTATCTTCTATAGTTTGATTCTATACTACACTCTACTTAATTTTGGTCTACAGTCAAGTTAATTTCGATCTATCCTTATTTTTTTTATATCTAATTTCAAATATTTAATACTCAATATAATTTTATGAAACCAAAGACATTATTGTTAAGAAACATTAATCTTTAAGAAAATATATTATTTAATATACTGTTAGTTGAGTTTTTTTTATCTCTACTAGCAGGTTAAAAAATTAACACATCACTCATTTTTTTTTTCAATTAGCTTTTTTAATATAATCTAAAGCCTAAAAGGTATATATATCTTGTTACTAATTTCATTTGTGAAATTTAAAAATTATATTATCAATATATTTTATGATTTTTTCTTGAAAAATATAAATTTATTTTTTTCAATTAAGAATGCTCTAACATATTTTTGTGTTTTGATAGTAAAAAAATTGATTAATTGTGCACATTTTATTAAATAATCAAAGCTTTGTTAGTTCTCTAACCAATTATTATATTCTTTGAAACAATAATGTTATAGTTCATTTTATTTTATTTGTTTACATACTTAGGTTATATTTGGTATACAAAATTATGAGATGATAGGATAAGATAATAGTATGAATAAGATTATATTAAATAATATCATCTTATTTTATGTTTAATGTATATAAAGATTATGATATGATAATTTATTTATTTGTCAAAATTATCCTTATTCAAAATTTATACAATTTAAATTATTGATATAATTTTTGAAGGTATAATTGGACATGTAAGTTTAATCCCATGGATTAAAAATAATCTTTTTCACTTGAGGAGGATTGAATAATCCTATGTTAAGAGGATATTAATTCTTCTTGCAATCTATATTCCTCTTCTTAGATGCAAATCAAATATGATGTAGGATGATTATCATCATATCTTATTAATAATCCAATGCATCAAATATGACCTTAAAGTATATGATTATTGATTTGAATTCATATCATGAAAATATCTATTTAATAATTATTTGTACTTTTATAAGTGTGTTTATTATACATAAATACATATATCATTTATGATATATACATAAAAAAATGTGAACTTTAAACAATATTAAAAGTGATTTTTTAATTTGGTAGACTCCTATTAATAATACACTATGTCATAACGATTTTGTGTTCGTCCGACAAATTTGAAAAAAAAAAGAGTCACCACAAATATTTTTTTGGCTAGGTGCGATTGGTCACTTATTAAAACATATCCTTTTAATAAAATCTTAAAATTAAAAAAATTATTACAATGATGATTTTAGGGTCTACGCAATAGTCTAGGTTCAGGAGTTAGTTATGTGTGAAGAATGATTAGCACTCCCATAATGCCCATTTAAAACTGTACCAATTAATTACATGTTATTCGTTATTTTGATAAAAACAATCTTATTTTCGGTGTTTGAAAAATAATTTCCTTAATTGTTCATTTATTAGCTTTTTTATATATATTATTATTTATTGTTTCATTTTTTATTCGAGAAAAATAAATTAGAACTTTTTTATTGAAATAATTCTTAAAATGTTTCAGTACGTTGATAATATTGGAAGAACTCTTTCTCACCTAGAGATTTCTTAGGCATCGCTTCTCTGAATACCTTAGAATCACATCCTCAGAGGCTCGAATTTATTTTTCACGAAAACTTTATTAAGCATACAATGCAAAATGTTGATATGTTGATGCATGTATTTTATTCTTTTTTTTAGAAATTTTATTAATTGTTTTGTTTGATTTTTTATTTTTAATTTAAATTTTTGAAGAAAAAAGGAATTTTTATTATATTGAAATTTTTCTATAAATATTTCAATACACTGGTAATAGTTAAAAAATATCTTCTCACCTAAGGATTTTTTAAAACATCTCTACTGGGAATACTTTTAGAATCCTATCATCGGAGAAAATTTTTTTTCTTTTTTATTTTTTATTCTTAATAAATTAATTATTTTTTATTTTTTATTAACAAAAAGGAAAATTTTATTGTATTGAAAACTTTTTATAAATACTCCAATACATTGGTAGCATTTAAAAAAAATTTTCTCACATAAAGATTTCGTAGGCATCACTACTTAGAGTATCTTTGAATCTCATCGTCGGATAAAATTTTTCTTTTCTTATTTTTTATTAATTTTGTATTATTTTTATTTAATTATAACATTTTTTACCAATTATTTTATAAAGTTTATTCAAAATTATCAAAAATTTTTATTAAATATTTCATAATTTATTTTTCATAACTATTATTATAGAAACAACAAAAATTTATTTTGGTAAATTTAAACATTTTAACATACACAAATATTAAGAATCATAATAAAATAACAAAAATAATATATAAAAAATTTAAAAAAAAATTTTTTTTATCTGAATCGGACCGATTAAAGGTTCGATTAACGTGCGATTTGGTCCGACGCCAGCGGTTTGGTCTGGTTAGGGTGGTTCGACGTCAGCAGTTCGGGGATGGTTCGATTCGATCTGGGTCGATTCAGCTAGACTGGTAAGAGGTTGAGGGATGGATGGCTCGTTGGGTCGGGTGCACGAACCTCGAGTAGGGTCACGGGTTGACGCGTGGATCCTCAAGGGCTAAAACAATGTCGTTTTGGTCTATATTGAAATGACATCATTTTGGCTTTGGCAGTTTCTATAAAAAGCTCAATTTTTTTTTGGTTACTTCTTTCTTATCTCAGAAAAAAAAAAAACCTCTCATTTACTCTCTTAGACTCTCTCTAAGATAATCGATCGATGGTCGTCTGTTGTGTTGGCCGTCGATTACCAGTCGTCAACGCCTTCATCGACCACCAAAAAATTTAAAAACTCTTAAAAAATTTTCCTTTTCCCCCTGAGCACAAATCTAAGCCTGATTTCACCTAAAAGTATCTCAAATGGCCTAGATCGGCTTTCAAACTTTCAACCAAACCTTCTTTTTTTTTATTTTGACTTTCATTTTTTTTACTGACTTTTCTTTTCTTTTTGTTTGTAGGGGCTTTAGGCGCTGGGTTCCCCATTCCAGGGGACTGTGTTTCTAGATTTTTTTACTTTTTTTTGAATTTTTTTTGTCGGATATCTTTTTTTTTATAGAAAGTTTTTTTTATTTTAAAAATTTTTTGGTAATTCTTTCGATCCTTTTCATCTTTTGGTGCTAGAATCAAGCTCTATTTATAGAGCTTTCTCATATTCAAATCCCATATTTTTTTAAATTCAAATATCAGATTTTCAAGTCGAAATCCATTCTACCAAGTTAGGCAGGGTGTTAGACAACTATCGGTGGTGGCGAAGGCTGAGATTTTGGACTTTCAGCGATAGTGCATTTAATGCACTCATGTTTTTGTCAAACTAAACTGGATAAGGAAAGAACAAAAAGGAAAAAAATAAAAAATAATAAAATAATAAAATATAAAATGGTGTTTACAGTTGCCACTCTTTACCCATTTTTGAGAATCAAGAATAAGACAAAAACAAACAAACAACCATTTTATTTGGAAAGAAGAAACATTGAGCACAAAATCTTTTTTTTTAAAAGGGTTCCTCTAAACAGAGGTTCAATGACATTTTTGAAAATTTAAAAAGCTCCTATGAGCAGAGTCTCAACAACTTTTAAAAATTTAAATAGGTTCCTCTAAGTAGAGGCTCAATGACTTTTGAAAATTTTAAAAAAGGCTCCTTTAAACAGAGACTTAACAATGTTAAAATTCATCATCTTGAAAAAGCTCTTCTAAGCAGAGGCTCAACAATTTAAAAATCTCATCTGAAAAAGCTCCTCTAAGCAAAGCTCAACAATTTTAAAAATCTCATCTGAAAAAGCTCTTTTAAGCAGAGGCTCAACAACTTTAAAAATCTTATATGAAAAAAGCTTCTCTAAGCAAAGGCTTAACATTTTTAAAAATCTTATATGAAAAAAATTTCTCTAAGC